CTTAGGAGTATGCCCTGTAACAGTAGCTGAGGCTTGGCCAATCCCAGCAGCCATACTTCAACCACTCATACACTGCCCAGTGTTCAAACTGTGTTCAAATAAGGCAAATGCTGAGCTGTAACCAATCCAGCTGTTTCTGTACCTCACTTCTGATTTCTGTATGTCACTTCCTTCTTTTTTGTCTATAAATCTGTTCTAACCACAAGGCATCCCTGGAGTCTCTCTGAATGTACTGTGATTCTGGGGGCTGCCCGATGCATAAATTGTTCACTGGTCTATTAAACTCCTTTAAATTTAATTTGGCTGAAGTTTTTCTTTTAACATAACTTAATTCCATCGTAGACAGAAAATATGGTCTCTATACACCAATTTTCTGAAATTTAACAGAGACTTTAGGGTCTTGCACGTGACCCATATTTTTAAACATTTCTTGTGTTCATGAGAATACATAAGTTGGGGTTGAGTCTATTAAATGAAACTTGATAATTATGTTGCTCAAATCATTGAAAAATTTTTATTAACTTTTATCTTTTTGACCTCATGGTAAATTGAGGGAGATGGGTCAATAATTTTGTCAATAATGATAAATTACCAATTTATCCATATCATTTTATTTGTGTATCTTGAGACTTTTGTTTTTAGGTGCACACAAGTTTAAGGGTATGTTTCTTGAAAAACTGAACCTTTTATCACATGCAGCAACTCTCTCTCTAGTAATGCTTTTTATTTTGAAATGTATTTTGACCAGTATCAATACTGATATACCTTTCTTTTGGCTAGTAATCTTCAGGTACAAAAAGAGGTACCCCAGATGTGGCTATTAACAATATTCAGCTGATGTCAATTATTTAGTCAAATCTGAACATCTATGTCTTTAAACAGCAAGTTTAATCAACTGACATTAATAGTGACTACTGGACTTATTTCAACATCTTACTATTCAATATGTTCTACGTTTATGCTATTTTTCTCTTTACATTTTTTAAGATTGAATGAACTTATCTTTGGTTTTTGTTTTGTTTTTTCTTATTACTGCCTCCACCACCTCCCTATTCATTTGCAAATTTTATGTTCCTTTCTTAGTTCGCGAATTTTATCAAGAATACAAAACCCCTAGACGCAGTATTTTAAACTCCCTATCAAAGCAAAGACCTTAAAATTAAAACCTTTATGTCTCCAAAAAGCAAAACCCAATGATAAAGGTATGAGCCAAGCATGCATCAAGTTATTCAAATTAAAACTGAAGTGAGATTTCTTGAATAAATAAAAATAGATGAATTAATTCCAAACAACAAGAAATATGAAGACAGAAGACACGTGACATTCAAAGAAAAATCAGACCCACTGTCTGTTTTAGTACAACCTGTGAGCTAAGAATGGTTTTTACATTTTTAAATGCCTGGAGAAAAAAATCAAAATAAAAAATTGTTTCAAAATACATAAAAATCAAATGAAATTCAAATTTTGGTATGCATAAATAAAGCTGTATTGGAACAGAGCCACACACATTTGTTGATACATCACCTATGGTTGCTTTCATACTATAAAGTCCGAGTTGTATAGCTGCAACAGAGACCATATGGCCCCATGAAACCTACAATATTTACTGTATGACCCTTCAAGATAAAGTTGGCCTGCCTGTGATTTTTAACATGTTAAATGAGTGGATTCTATTAAGATACTATTAAGACACTTAGTTTCCACACGTCCTTCAAAATCTGGGAATCATCCCAGTAAGTCTACTGTAATGTTATAATAAAAAGTATCATTAATAAATATGGAGGAACTCCCAAGAAAAAATGGAGGTAAGAACTAGCCCAGAAAAGAAAAGCTACAGCTATGATCACAAAAAAGAAAATGCCACTGCAAAGACAGAAAGAGTTCCAGAAAAACCCCCATTTCAGAATCCATAGAACAAAAAGACACTCTGGAACAAGCATCAAGGTAATTCGAACAGTGAAACCAATCTTAGCCACCCCCGTGCATATATGTAAACTTACAGGTAGCATCAACGTTTCTAAAATCAAGCTCTCTGACCAACTTCCAAACAAAGTTCATGCTCTGCGTCAGAAGGTACATAAACATGAGGCTGAAGCTGGGGAAAGAAGCAGGGCCTAAGACAATACCAGCACAGAACGAGAAGAGGCAGAATAGACAGCTAAGCCAAAAGCCATTATAGAGATTAAAACATGTATTTAAAAAATTTTAATTCTAAGAAAGTGAGAAAACAGTAACAAAACCACACAAGATGCAAAAAGGTGTTAAGTGGTCAAATTCTACAATTCTTTCAAGTAACATGATTTGTTCTGTATATAGCATAGAAAAACATGGAAAGCTTTTCACCTCATTCTGTGAAGGCAAATAACCTTCACGCCAAACCAAAAACGAGTAACACAAAACAAAATTAAAAGCTCCATCTCCTTTACGATTATACCATAAGTACTTTACTGAATCCAGCAATATGTATTAAAAACCAACACCACCCCTAACCACAATGGCCAGGCAGGGCTTATTCTAGTAATGTGTGGCCACTGCAGCATTAGTACATCTATTAATACAACTCAGAATAATAAAGGCTAAATAAGGCAAATGCTAACATACATCAATTATAATCCTGATGCATATTTTAAAAGCATTTGACAAACTTTAACACTTATTCTTGATTAAAAACAGAAATAATCTCCTAACAAGTTGAAATAGAACTGCCTGAATATCATAATTACTGGCAAAATATTAAAGGCACCCACCAAAGTCAAAGAAAGATAAGGATGATCACGCTCACCTTAACAAATAAATACTCTATGAGGGACTGAACCAATATGAAAAAATATGAATATGTAAGGTTAAAATGTTGGGGGAGGAGATAAAAATTGCATTACTTGTAGGCAATTATCTATATTGTACTTTACAACTGAAAACACAAGAAAATTAAAGAGGAACAATTAACACAAGTAATTATCCAGCTGACATGATATAAAATAAGCACATAAAAGTTAACTTTTGGCCGGGCGCGGTAGCTCCCGCCTGTAATCCTAGCACTTTGGGAGGCTAAGGCAGATGGATCATGAGGTCAAGAGTTGGAGACCATCCTGGCCAACATGGTGAAACCCCATCTCTACTAAAAATACAAAAATTAGCTGGGCGTGGTGGCACATGCCTGTAGTCCCAGCTACTCGAGAGGGTGAGGCAGGAGAATCGCTTGAACCTGGGATGCGGAGGTAGCAGTGAGCTGAGATCGTGCCACTGCACTCCAGCCTGGTGACAGAGTGAGACCCTAGCTCAAAAAAAAAAGTTAATAACTTTCCTACAGACTATAATAACAAGACTGCAACAGAAATGAGGGGAGGGTCTCATTCAAAGGAATAAATGCTATAAAATAGCTAGGAATATATCTGAGGGGAAAAAAGATATAAGACCAAGACCAGTGTGCAGAAAAGTATAAAACTTCCTTGAAAGACGTTAAAAAAATGAATGACCCCAAAAAATAAGAGCCATGCACACTATGGAGAGAAAGATTTACTATCATAAAAATGTCAAAATTTTCTTAACAAAATTTATAAAATTCCAATCACAGTTGCAATACAGAAATTTTTCCCCTTTGCCTTAAAAAATAATTCTAAATTAATTTGGAAAACCTGATGTGTGAGAATCAACAGAGAAAACCATCAAGGAAAAAGAATAATAAAGGGAACCTAGCATCATCTAGATATTAACAGTTTTAAATTTAAAGATACTGGAATCAAATTAAGCACATTAGAGGGCAATATCTATAACACATTTAAAAACAAATAATATAAAAATGTCTTTTAAATAAACAAGTAGTTATTAAATAATCCAAGGAGGATGAAGGACGTGAAAAGGCAATTTACAAATGAAGAAAAGGCCAAGCAATGCAGCTCATGCGTGTGATCCCAACACTGTGGGAAGACAAGGGCGGAGGATCACTTGAGGCAGGAGTTCAAGATCAGCCTGGGCATCACAGTGAGACCCCCATCTCTACAACAAAATTAAAAATCAGCCAGGCCTGGTGGTTCACACCTGTAGTCCTTAACTCTTAGGAGGCTGAGGCAGGAGGATCTCTTGAGCCCAGGCGTTGGAGGTTACAGTGAGCTATTATCACACCACTGCATTCCAGCCTGGGCGATAAAGTGAGACCCTGTCTCCAGAAAAAATCAAAAATTTAAAAACAAAAACAAAAAACTAAAACCAAAAAAAAAAAACAAAGAAAGCCAAATCTCATTTGAAAAGATAAAATATCACATAAGCATCTGGGGCAATACAAATTAAAATGCTGAGATGCCTTTTTTTTTTTTTTAATCTAGGCAAACTTCAAAAATAGCAACATTAAATGCTGGCAGGAATATGAGGAAACATATACTGTCTTTAACTTATGGGAATATAATTTTGTAGAATTTATTAATATCTAAAATATAAAATGAACAAATGATAACTGGAACAGTGATTCCCTGTTTAAGAATTTATGCTTAGGTACAAGGGTATTCACTACTTTATTATAAATAACATAAACAGAGGAAAAAAAAAGATGTTCATTAATGAACAAATAATATAAAATTTTTGATAAGAGTAGATTAATATACAGCAGTAAATTGAAAATAAAAATAATAAAATAAATTGATAGTTACTGTAGTTCTAAAAAAAAGTATGATCCTGTATATTTAAAAAACAAAGGAATCGCAAACGTATGTTTGCAAGTATAAATACAGATATTGTTAAGTCAAAGACTTATGGCAAATTATTATTATTGTCTAATAAATACCTTCATATTTTATCATACATAAAAGACATCTGTAATTATTAAATATTTTACATAATTTTTCAAATTAAATATATTAGGTGCAGTTTTAAAACAAACAGCTACAGGTCATGATTATCTAATTATATAAATATTTAACCAATGCTTATATATAATGTGTAACTGTTTAAATTCGACACTTAAGATCACCTTCAGCATGCTGAAAGAAGAATTTAATAGTGCTTACCAATATCATTAATCACTGCTCTTATTTTGGAGACAAAAGGACCAACTTCACTGGAACTCATTTTGGCTCTTTCCTTAAGGTCAGCACCTGCAAAGTATTTTATTTACAAATATAATCTAGTTGTAAACAAAATTTTAAGGCAAAGAATTGAAAATTTACTTAAGATTAATATACAACTTCAAGATCAGCCTAATTCATCTTTTAACAGAATGACATTACCTAAGTTTTCCTTCCCAATGACCATGTTCAGCAAGAATAAAGTATTTGTCTACTCATGTGCTTAAAGCATTGCTTCTCCAGCTTTCGGTCTCAGGCCCCTTCATGCTCTTAAAGGAAGACACTATAGCTGGCATCTACTGATCTATAGTTACACTATTAGAAATCAAAACTAAGAAATTGTTTAAGTGTTTATTCATTTAAAAATACAAATGAACTCATTAACGTTAACATAAAGAACAACAAATTGGTGACACCATCTTGCTTCTTTGCAAGGTCCTGTCAGTTTATCCACCACTGCTTTTGCAGTGTATTAGCACAAATGCCAACCCTGTAAAAAGGGCAGATTACACTTTGGTCAGTCCCTCTAACTTCGTGGATGCCTGCCTTGGGGACAGTCAACCACATGGAAGCAGCATAGATTTAAAGTATGAACAAACTGACAATTTCATAATTATGACTTTAGCACAGAATCGTAACTTTGGAACAGAGAAAAATAAACACATGGAATTCTTAAGGGATAATTAACTCTGAGAACAAAGAAGATCTTTAGAAAAATTAACAATCTGAGAAAAGATGGGTCCCCAATTAAACAAACAGACAAACAACAAAGTAAAATTACAGCATAGAAGGCACACACTCAGCTATTTGCCCCTATTAGTCTATTACAAATCAATCATGATGATACATAATACCTTAAGTAAGGGATAGGGTAGGGGCATTCTGATCTCACACACTTCCAGGGGGAGGGAGAATCTCAGCTGACAAAGCACACAGCCTCACATCCATCGGATCTTAGATATGTACACCCTAGAAAATCTCTCACACACCCAAGAAAACACGTACAATAACATTCAAGAAAGCATACAAAGCCTAGCAAAAAAATGGATATAACCTAAATATCCATCCATAGGAGAATAAAACAAGGACATAATTATAAATAGAATGTTACTTGTACAGCATGAACATGAAAGAATTAGAGTAAATACAGATAAATCTAATGAATAATACTATTGAAAAAGTATAATTACAGAAAGATACACAGGATAATAAACACAAATTTTAAAAACAATAATGCTATTCAGGGATATAAAACACACAGATGATAAATTCAATTGGTGGTTATGGGGGCTGGGGTGTGATTGGCAATGGGTACACAAAGGACTTCAATTTTATTTGTAATATTGTATTGCTTAGGTTGGGTCGTGGGGGCTAAATATGCGAGTCTAAATGTTTTGGGATGCCTGATACATGTCTTCATCATTAATTTTTCCATGAAGAATATGTCACAAAGAAAAATGTTGGCACCACCAAAAACAAATAAATGATGTAACTCGATGCCAAACTCTTCTTTGAGGCCCAGTATTTCTCAGTTCCATTACTTTGTAAATTTAAATATTTTACATTTATAACCACTCATCTCAAGTGGGCCATTCTGATGCCCAGCAATTCTACTGTATTTCCTGAGTTCATCCACTCTCCTACTCACATATAGACCATGTCACAACTTCCCTCTCCACCAATCTTAAAACCTCCTATCAATCCTACCAAAAGCCAGAAAATAAATTCTACCAGTACTTGATACCAAAGCTATCTACCCAGGACTTGAACCTATCTATATATTCCGCCCTGCCTCCTGTTACTATGAATGAACTAACTCATTGAGAGTGACAGGAGACAGACAAATTCCCTGGCAGACAGGGATGCGTCCCCAGTGAGACCCAACCTTCAAGCCAATGACAGTTTAAAAATCGAGCTGCTGGTTCCAAACAGAGAGAAAACTTTGTCTACAAACAGAGAGAAAACTTCTATCCCCGTATTACCATCACTCTCTTGATTGGTTCCTTCTGGATGATGCCTTTTAACCAATCAAACAGTGGTTTTTCCAAGCCCACCCAGGGATGAATCAGCACACACGCACCCATTCTAACCCATAAAAACCCCAGATCCAGCCTCACAGGTGACTACCCACTTTGGGTCCCCTCTCACAGCTGAGAACTTTCCTTATGTCACTCAATAAAATTCTTCTCTGCCTTACTCACTCTCCGGTGTCCATGCACCTCATTCCTCTTGGTCGCAGGACAAGGACCTGGAACTCGCTGAGCTGCAGGCAGCAGGAATGAAAGGGTTGTGACACCCCTGGCCGGCTCGCCAAGCTGCGGGCAATGGGGATAAAAGAGCTGTAACACGCTCCCGCTAGCCAAGCTATGAGAGTGAAGAGCTGCAACATTTCTGGGGGCCCAGACCTCAGGACTCCCCAAGCAAGAATTGTAACACCCCTTGGGGCTCCATGAATGCTGGTATCTCTGAGTTTTTGGGTGACACCACATTCCCCTTGTCTAGACACCGGTGCCTGACACGGAAACCATTTGTGGCATGCCCAGTCCAGCCTCAAGCTGAGCGTGGAGCTGCAGCAGGCATAGGATTCAAGTGGGTGTGAGCCAAGCACAACCTGCCAGGCCAAGTGGGTGGAGTAAGCCCCGGGGCCTGAGTGAGGCCCGGACAGAGGTGGCAGGGGCAGCAAAGATTTCTGGCTAGCAAAGTGGCATCTAAGGAATCCTGTAACATCATGAGGGAGGCCAATCCATCCCCTTGTGCACTGGATTCAACCCCTTCTAATCTCCTTGGGGACATCACTCACTCCAGCACTTAAGCTCTCTCCTTGGCTGGCGTCAGTACTGCCCCTCCTTAGAGGTTCATTCCCATCAGCACACAGCAATGCTGTAATACTGACATCTTAAAAAAAAAAAAAACTCACACAGACTTCCACTGTTAGCTATGATGGAATAGGTTATCATCAGACCAATTCTTCCATGAAACACTGGAGAAAGTATGTAAGACAGCTGCTTCAGCAACTAACGCAGCCAGGATGTAAGAGGCTGAAAAGCCAGAGAAGGGAAACTATGGTAAGCCTCTGCTTTCCCCCCAAAACATACACTGAGTTATAAACTGGTGGGGGAAAGAGAGTATAAAAGCCATAGCACGAAGTAGCAGCTCAAAATCTCGGTAATCTCCTGGAACTGGGGAGACAAACACCGGCGGTGAAGACTACTGGCTCAGCCAGAACTTTGAAGCCAAGATCTTGGAGAAAAAGGAACTACAAACAAGAGAGCCCACTAAAGGGACTCACCAAATTAATGAAATAATGGTGAAAATCATATACATTTTCATTAGTTGCAGAAAAAGTATTTGATAAAATTCAATACTCATTCCTTAACATCTTCACTGAGGAATATGTTAATAGAGTTCAGCAACTTTAAGTATAGAATTCAACAATTTTTACTACATTTACAAAGTTCTACAACCATCACCTCAATCCGATTTTAGAACACTTCCATATCACAAAAAGATCTCTCATGCCCATATGTAGTCACTTCTGTTCCCACCCCAGCACCACGTAACCACTCATCTATGTTCCCAAGAATTGGCCTTTTCTGGACATTTCCTACAAATAAATTGATACAATATGTGGTCTTTTTTGTCTGTTTTCTTTCATATACCATGCTTTTCAGGTTCATGCATGTTATAAGCATGAAGTCTTCCACTATATGAACATATAAACATTCTGCTTATCCCTTCATCAGATGACAGATATTCATATCATTCCCACTTTTTGGCTACTATGACTAATGCTGATATGGACATTCACTTACAAGTTTCTGTGTGGACAAATGTTTTCATTTGTCTTGGATAAACACAAAGAAGTAGAATTACTAGGTCATACTGTAAACTTGTGTTTAACTTGGAGAAAAGACAAAAAAAAACAACCCTGCCAAGCTGTTTGCCTAGGTTGGCTGCACCATTTCACATTCCTATCAGCAAAGCTTGAGGGTCTCTGTTTTCCTAGTCACCAACAATTGTCTGTCTTTTTTATTATACCTACAGTGAGTGTGAAGTGGTATCTATAAGGATTTTAATTTGCATTTCCCTAATGACTAATGAGGTTAAACACTTTTCATGTGCTTACTGGCCACTCAAACAGCTGCTGTAGTGAAATGTCCATTCAAATCTTGTTCATTTTTTTAAAACCAGGTAATTTGTTTTCTGCTTATTGAATTCTAAGTTATATCTTAGATACAAGCCCTTTCTAAAATATATGATTTACAAATGTTTTCTTCATTTTTGTGGCTTGCCTTTTACTTTCTTGATTTTTGAAGCACAAATTTTGATTAAAATTAATCAAAATTATAAATTTTTTCTTTTATCATTTGTGCTTTTCTTGTAATATCTAAAAATCAACACTCATTCCTGATTAAAATTATCTTAGCAAACTAGGAAGAAAAGGGGATCTTTATAATAAAAAGTAACTGTAAAGTACCTATAGCTAACATAATCTGTAATAGTCAATTACTAAAAGCTTCCTCCCAGGGACCAAGAAAGAGACAAGGGTATTCCCCAACACTGTAATAGATGTCCTAGTGAGTGTGATAAGACCAACTTAAAACTTACAAGCATTGAAAGGTATAATAATAAAACTGTCATTATTAGCAGATGACTTAACTGCATATGAAGAATAGCCTAAAGAATTTTCGAACCATGAAAACAAGTAAATTTAGTAAGGTTGCTGGATATAAGCTCAATATACAAAAATCAACTGTATTTCTATATACTAGCAAAATAAATTTGAATGTGAAATTTCAAAAAGACACCACTTACAAAACATCCAAAAATCAAGGAGTGAAAGAATAAATCCAACAAGAGGCACACAAGACTCTGACACAAAATCTGAAAAATCTTATTGAAATAAAGAAGCCCCAAATAAAAGAACATACTATGTTCATGTGTTATAATAGTCCATACTAAAAAGATGTAAATTCTCTCCAAATTAACAGATTAAATGTTGTTTCAATAAAAGTCCCAGCTTTTCTGGA